CCAGCTGGTGGTCGGCCTGCTCCGTCTCTGCCGCTTGCCAGCTACGCCTCGGCCGGCGCAGGGGGCGGAACCACGCATGTGCGGCGCTCCCGGGCAGGGAAAGTCCTCGACTTACGACCGGTTGGGTAGTCCTCGACTTACAACCGGTTTAGTCCTCGACTTACGACCGGTTTAGTCCTCGACTTACGACCGGTTGGGGTCGCGGCATTAAAAAGGTTGAGAACCACTGTTCTAAAATGTCAGGGCAAATCATGACTCCTGTCCTGGAGATCGCCTACAGCCTTTGCTGCTCCATGTCATCTTCTCCATGAATTTACCTACTCCATTTTTAAGGCTGCCAAGTTGGTGGGTACCACCAACCTTTCGAGTAGAGAATCGCCAAGTTAAACTCGCCTCATTTGAGTCATCATCCTGTGTAATTAGAGAAAAATAATAAATTATCTCTGACCACCTTCTCTATGCAACACTCATTTTCATTGAATGCTATTTCCTTTTACGTATTTCTTTAAAAAAAAATTAAGTTGTACAGTTGAAGTATTTATCTTCAAGGAAGTTGTGCCAGTTCCTTGGCTCTAATCCCATCGGATTAGCTTTATCCTATTGACAGAATACATAGCTTATTCGAAAAAGCTTTCTTAGAGGCCCTATCATTATTTCAATTTATGAAGCCTAGTTTTCTTCCAAAACTGCATGATTATACTTTCCCAGGTAGCTTCTGATGACAAGCACCATGGCTGCTGACCCACTGCAGCACTCTTTTTCAGTCTGTTTTGACAGAAACCTGCACATGAAATGAAACTAACCAACATTTCTCTTCCCTTTGATGCCTTTGATGTGCATGAAAAAGAGAGATAAATCCTTAGCTATGCATTTACTTGCTAATGTAATCTGTTTGTAATTTATGTCGGCAAGTTCTGCACATTGTTGGCTTATCTTAGATTGAACGTCTGAAACAGACAAACAAGAAGAAAACGGAAAAGGAAATTCTGCAGAATATAAGAGGATATGGATGTTATTTTCAGGAAATGCCAGACTATTTGTGATGATTATTTGCATCTAACTGATTATACATGGAGTCCAGATAAATCTACTCTGATGATAAACAGCTGTTCCATGTTTCAAAAATAGTGAAATTCACTTTTTATGAATTATGCCCCAATTCTTGACTTGCATTTTGGAGATGAGTTTGCCTGGAATCCAAATACCCCATTTTAATACACACACACCCACCCCAAGATTTAGAAGCAAAACTAAATATATTAGGGGTCATGTTGGTTTATTTTAAACAGTAATAAGTAATATTTAACACTAAGTAAAACATTGTACCCCATCTACTAAAAGATTGTATCTTAGTATATAGATACAAGTAGTCCTCGGCTTACAACCACAACTGAGCCTAAAATTTCCATTGCTAAGCAAGACAGTTGTTAAGTGAATTTAGGGGGTAAAACACAGGAAAGAACGGTGTCAAGAATTCACTTAGTGACCTCGAAAATTCAGTCATTATGTCAACAATTTACGTAGACCGAAGGGGTAACTGAAACTAACAGTCTTCCAGTGTTTTTCACTAGTGTACTGGGGTCCTGTGACGTTAACACTATTTATGTACAGTAAACGGTTTGCACACTTAAAACCAGTGCTGACCATAGAGAGGTTGCAACAGTCATAAGTGTGAAAAGCAGTCATAAGTTACTTTTTTCAGTGCCATTGTAATTTCAAACTGTCGCTAAACAAATGGTTGTAAGTTGAGAACTACTTGTATACTGTTTTATGTCCTTGGGATCTAGTAGAAGAGAATGCAATGCATGTTGTTGGTTTATGAGCCATCCCTCAAAAGTTGCCTGCTGCCATGACCCTAGTTCTCTTCTACTCAATCGTACAAGTCAGGAACATGTTTTTCCCTCCAGCTACTCAAAGACAACGTGCACTTCTTACTGCACAAACCTTGTTCCACTTTACTACTTGCTATTGTCAAGAATTATCATTCACCACTATGTGAAAGATGGGAAAGTAAGCTAATGTAAGTCTGTTAAGGGGTGTTTAGTTCTAGCCACAAAGTCACTCACCAACTTCACCATAAGAGGATGGGGGAATTGTTCAGAGCTTGCAGAAAAGAGAGTGAGAGATCAGGAAAATCAAGGGGATTCTCACCAGACGAGGTGAGATCAGCTTTCAGTTCCTATGGATCCTCATATCTTTTTGACATCTTCCTAACTTCTCATGGTGGGAAACAGTTGAATGGCAGAGACATAATGTCACTTTTTTTTTTCAAAGCCAGTTGAGTAGGGCTCTTTGAAAGTGCCAATTTTACAGAATTTCTCAAAACCTAAACAACACAAAAGTGCTGCTCTCTAATGGCTTCAGCTTGTTACCACTTTGTCCTCTGTGGCTCTTGAAAATAAAAAAGAAAACAATTGAAAAAGTGTGATCTAGGCTTCAAAAGAGCTTGCCACTTGGTTCTAGTTGTGAGAATTACAACTAGAGGCTGCCTACAATCTTCAGGAACTTGGGAAATGTTTTCATGTTACTGACCTTATTCAGGCAGAACTGCTGTTGCTGTTGTTGTTCCTTCCCAGGATAATACCCTACAGCAAAGATAAAATATTTGTCAGAAGATTTAAGTAGGGGGGGGGAGAGACCAAAGGAGAGCACAAAGACCAAACATATCCACCTGACTTGCTCACTGTGGGCAACTGCTGGGAACCTAGAGTCACATGGACTGCGAAGGAGAAATTAAAAGTGGGATTCCCAGAAGCAGAAACAGAATTGTGCAATGAACTCTGGGGTAAAAAAACCTTGGGACAGCCAGGCAAGACTCTGTACACTAAAAAGGAGCCCCCTGCTCCAACGTAAGTATATTGAATAACATTATTCTACTCTCCAGTCCTGAATTTCATGGTTTTGTTTCATTAGAAATTTGGCAACAGTTCCCAATAGCCTCTGAAGACCATCCCTAAGACTTTCAGAGACCTTAAGTGATCCTGATACTTCATGTTTTTTACCTCTACCACAAACTATTGTTTCTGGCCCTTGTCCTCTCAGCCTTTCAATCTTTCTTAATTTTTCTAGGTGGTCAAAGACATATTGCTAATTGGTCACCGACAAGCATTTGCGTGGGTGGATGAGTGGTATGGTAAGTCATGCTTTTTAAAAGAGAACTATTTAGAAGCACAAAACTTTGTCAGACATGTACTGCGTGACCTGCTTATTTTTATTCTAGTTGTTTTTATTAAAATAGTTAGCACAAAGGAGAGCATGTTCTATCCTTCAGACAAAACACGAGGAGAATTTTAGAATGTTTATATTTGCTTGCAGGATATGCTTGCAGCTCTGGATACAATCCTGCCGCGGTGCTGGTTTCATAATTTTATCAAATGTGTACTTTAGTATCTGTAACTCTTAAGTAACAAGTTTAATTTGAATTAAATTTGAAATCTAACGTACCTGTTTTAAAGACTAGTACCAAACCTCAAATTATGATATTAAAAACAGAGTTTGACTTTCAGCACCAGAACTGTGATGTAATGGCTAAGATGTTGTACAGTACTAGGATTAGTTTCAAGTCTATCCCCAATCATGGAAACTCAACACATAGCTGAGTTTCAGCCAATCAGTCTCTCAACTAATCTATCTAAGGCTAGGAAATATCCTTGCCAAGCAACAATTCTGCAGAAGTTTCCACTTCTTCAAAATTGACACAGGCAAATATTCAAGTTTATGACTTTCTTCCAAGCTCCAAACCATAATTCTGTATTGTGTCTGCCCTGGTTCATAATGTTCACTTTTGTGCTGAATAAGGGCACTCATAGATCCGAAAAATTGAGGATTATGAAATGGGTTGAAAAAAACTCATTCAGTGGATCCAATTTAAATCTACTGATTTGTTGCAGTGGATGATAAATATAGATATACTTTGGCATAAATGCAATAACCAATTAAATAAATAAGTTTTAAACATATTGTGCAGAGGTATCAACTATATATAATTACTAAATTGTAAACTTCAGTATAACTAATATTATTTTATATTAGATAAGCTTATTTTTCCTGTAATAAAGCAAAAAAGTTATTCACTGTAATAAATATTTGAAATCAACCAATCAAGTCCCTATTTGCCTAACCTAGAAAACATGGAATAGGGAAAGGAGAGTGAAATGAGTCTGGACATCAGGAAAGTTGACCTTTTGTTCCATTAAATGCACTGTGATCGATAGTACTAAGGCTTATTCAGATTTATAATGGAACTTCCCAGCTGGCCTTTATTATCCAGACCTGAACCACTTTCCAAAGATTAAAATTTCATTTACCTAAAAGGATAAGAAGCCTTTAAAAGGAAATATCACTGAAATTTGGTTTCCCTCATGAGACTAGGTGTCCACTGTTTTATCATTTTATATAAATGTCTTGTGGCAAAAGTCACAAATATTCTTTTGTTTTATCTTTTAAGAAAAGTCTCAGTCTCCCCATTTCTTATAACTGAGCTCCCTGTGATGATCAAACTATTAAGCAGGATTGGACAATCAGACGGTGCTAATAACTTTTTGGCAGGCCCCAAATAATTACTGTAAATACATGAGAATCATGAGCACTGCAGTGGCCGTGAAGCCTTCCAGTGCACTTACACTTCCTGACAACTCTTTATTTGGATTTTTAATTGTTGAATAACAGTAGATTAATGTATAGAATTAGGATGTTTTACCACTTTGACCAATCTTCAACATTTCCTCTGCGCAGAAAGTATATGTTTCTTAGGGGCATCAAATGAATTCCCTGGACTAATATAGAACTGCTCAGGATCTCATTTATTTTAAAATGCATATTTGGTTGATGCAAGGGCTTCATCTTCTAATTGCAGACTAATCCTCAATCCTAAACTTGTGTACAAATATTGCCATGATTTTAGTGTGACCTACTATCCTGTAGACATGTGTAAGATTCTTGACTAATACACAGTTAGCTTTGCCGTAAGACAGCCTTCTTGCATTAACTTGAAAGTTGCTAATGAAGAGCTTGAACACTGCTTGGCACAAATGCTTCTGATCGTGCTGGTCCCATTGCTTATAAGCTTCTTTGATCAGTGCTTTTTAATGCTCCTTAATTTTAAGTGAAGGGGGGGAAAAAGCAAAACGCGATGATAATATGTGAATATATAAATATTAATGGAACGTATTATGAGAGTGGAATTACTAGAGTGTGCTAAGACAGAAAAGTGCTAAAAGAATATAATGTAATGTAATGGCGTCTACTGCAATATAAGAGCACTCTTTCCTTCAGAGAAGAGAACAAAATTAAGTGTGCGCATGTTCCTGTAAATGTTTTTAACATTGCCCACATATTCGTGTTATCACTATTGTGGGAGAACTGGATTGTGTGTAGAGTAATTCTACTGGATAGCCTTACGATAAAAAAAAATGAAGAGATACTGACGGTAGCTTGATTTTCAAAGCATTTAAAATTTTCAATTAATCTATTACAAGTGCTCTACTATTAATCTTCAGGGTTCAATATCCTCTACAGTCTAAGCCAGGTAGTGTTAAAACAATGTAATATATTGATAGGGAGCATAATGTTATTTAAAGTAGTGCTCTATAATTGTGTTCAAAGTTCCTGACAAGGTAAGTAGAATTTTGAGCTGTTCTTTAATCCTTCCTCTTTCTTCCACCAGGAAATCTTCTAAATTTATTTTAGAAGATGTCTGCCTTTGGCAAAGCCTGCACCCTGCACTTTTCTTGCCTAGCTCATTTCACAGAAATAACCAATTTCCCCAATCCCTATACTGTGTTTCTTTTTAACTGATCCTTCTTATAACTTACCTTCCTTGGCTGGTTTATCTAGCTGTTCGCCTACTGATAACAGAATTGGCTTCCTGCTTTGTGGCTTTTGCTAGGAAGGATTTTTTTTCCCCGCCTAGATTATTCCTTTGATTAAAAATTGAGTTTGAATTAATGGAAGATCCCATCGTCTTGAACCTTTTTCAGATATGACTTTGGATGATGTTCGAGATTATGAGAAAAATATGCATGAAAAAACGAACATTAAAGTGTGCAATCAACATTCATCTCCTGTGGATGAAATAGAGAGCCATGCCAAAGGAAGTGTATGTAGTGCCTTTAAAAATATTGCCCACCATCTCCTAATGCAAACGAGGAACAAAACATGCTGAGCTTTAGGAGATTGCTATGGGAGTAGCCCTGGTCATCGCAACTGTTTGCCTCTCCTATGGCATTTTCCCCATCAAGTTCTGGAAGGACCAACACAAGGTTGAAAAGAGTTTTGCAAGCTTATATAATTTGGTGGGTTGGCTCCAAAGTAGAAGCCTGAGATGTACAAGCATTTCCATTTGCAGTCTTCTCTTAAATGTTGAATTGTTCTTATTTTCTAAGCCAACTGGACAGAGGCACTGATGTCTCGTTTCTCTGTGACACCTTCAAAACATTTCTTTACTCTTTTGTCAAAAGAGTTTCTCGTTGTCATTTTAACAATGGGATTTTTAAAAAAAAATAATTAAGGGGCTTTAAGGTGTATGTGTTTGAAATAAAACAAGAAAACGGTGTTCACTTGAACAAACATTCTGCTACGCTGGAAAAAAAAAGACATGACAAAGTGAATGGCATTTGAGTTGCTGATTACATCTATCCTCGAATTAAGAATCAAAAATAAACCCAAGGGATGATGCACTGCATATCCGTACACATCTTTAGCTGCAGTGAGTTATCTCCAAGGAAAATTAAATTGTCAGGTTAAATTTAACCGAATGTACCATGTGGCAATTTTGTTTCTGTTCTCTCTGCCTATTGATGTATCATACCTGGAACAATCCTTTCTCTTACTGGCTGAGATCTATTAGATCAGATTCAGGCAATTTATATCCCAATGCTACAGTTTTCTTCAGAAGTAGATAATATCCTGGTTCAGATTGCTGAGCCAGGATTTCTTTAAACTGTGGTTTATTTAACAAGCTATAATGGTCCAGTTTGTTTGCATATAATGCTAAGATATAATGGATGGGTTCATCCTTCATACCCTGTTGAAAATAAGTAATAATACATAATGTTTTGTTATATATAAATCAGGCTGCTATTTTATGCAAGTCAGCTTTCTCACTTCATTAAAATTACTGCATTTCACTCAAGGAGCAGTAATCAAATAGGAAAGGGAAATGGAGGTGGCACTTTTATTTCCAAGGAATAAAGCATTAATTTGGGAAAAATGAACTCTCCTTGAGTCAAGCTCAGCTCTGGATAACTTCATAGAGAAGATTCTTGGCAATGGTATGGAAGCATTTTGCCACTGCCTTCTTCAGAATTTTTTTAAAATCATCCATTCTAGTTTCCTGTTTTTTTCTTATATTTCCCCCATCCACAAATTAATCAGGTTTAACCCCATTTAGTTTTTGGAAATCTAATATGTTTAACTAAATGGTACCACCTAGCTGGACACTGGAATAAACAAAGAATAAATCTTTTAATGGCAATGGGAATTCTTGAAAAAAACCAAATTTTTATAGTAAACAAGAATGTACCTTTTACACTCTCTTTTTACATACAGGTAGTCCTCGACTTACGACCACAATTGAGCCCAAAATTTCAGTTGTAAAGTGAGACATTTGTTAAGTGAGTTTTGCCGCATTTTACAACCTTCCTTGCCACAATTATTACGTGAATCACTGCAGTTGATAAGTTAGTAAGCCAGTTGTTAAGTGAATCCGGCTTCCCCATTGACTTTGCTTGTCAGAAGGTTGCAAAAAGTGATCACGTGACTTTGGGACATAGCAATGTTCATAACTATGAACCAATTGCCAAACATCTAAATTTTGATCACATGATTATGGGGGATACTACGAAGGTTGTAACTGTGAAAAATGGTCACGAAATGTGTTGTAAGTTGAGAACTATCTGTATTAAGATCTGACTTTGTCAAAAGTAAATAACTCGATCCTAAATTAGGCTGTTATCAAAACTGGAAACAATGGAAAGGATATCTCCTCCCCAAAAGAGAATCCCTCCTAGCCCTTAACCTAGGGTGGGACGAACAGAGACAAGAAATCTCAGTGTTCATTTTGGCAAAAAATGTTCAATAAAAGGGCGTATTGGAAGTCTTTCATAATTATCTCCACAGTTTTGATGCAATAAATCTGTATGTCTGAACCTTGTTTTCCCGTTATAAATAAATAAATACAGATAGTTTTATCTTGTCAGCGAAGATTAAATACAGGTAGTCCTCAACTTACAACAATTCATTTAGTGACAGTTCAAAGTTACAAGTGACTTATCACCCTTTTTCACACTTTTGATCACATATGATCAACCGGCTTGGCAACCAGTTCATATTTATGATGTTTGCAGTGTCTTGGGATCACGTGATCAGCTTCTGCGACTTTCTGACAAGCCAACTCAATGGGGAAAACAGATTCACTTAACAACCGTGTTGCTAACTTAACAACTGCATTGATTCACCTAACTGTGGCAAGAAAGGTCGTAAAATGGGCTCAATTATGGTCACAAGTCAAGAAATACCTGTAAATATCAAGAAATAATAAAGCCAGTCTTGTGGTAGGTTTCCGTTTCCATGCTTCTCTCTTGCCTTTGTCATGACTTCAGCCATTAATCCGAGTTATTGAGGAGCCACATAATATTGATATCAGTACCAACTGCTCTTTTTAAAGTGTTTTGCACTATTCATCTCCCAGAAGTGATGAGAGGTAATTTAAAACTTTACTAATTAGATTTTCCCTGAGTATATGGTTTCAAAAAGCTCTTAACAACCATTTGTTTGGTATTTGTGTTTGAACTTCTCTTAGTTACCTTCCTTAGGAATCCATGCTCAATGCAGGGAAGTTGAAACTCAAAGGAAGCTGGAATTTCTTGTGATTAAGAAACTCTTCCCCGATATTCAAAACATTAATCTCGCTTGAAGTGCAGAAACCTCACATGGCCCTTTGCTGAACCCATCTTGGATTTTGAACTGATAGAAGGAAATAACCACAGAGATATTTATACTCTATGAAATTTGTAATGTTGTGTTTGAAGGAAACACACATTGCAACGAAGTATAACTCTGCCCTCTGGTGGAATTATTCAAGATTGTAATATTTTATATATCTGAATAAAAATCCCAAGATACTTCAGTTAGGTAAAGAATCTGATTTGGCTACATTGAGCTTTTGTTCTAGCCATAACTAGGCAATGAGTTATTTCAGGTGTACTACATATAACAACTGAATTCTAACAATTCATGATTGTTAGAAAAAAAGGCACCATATATTTTTCAACCAATTTTAACTTGCAGCAGGCACTGTTCATTTGTTGCCATCATTGCGTTCCTTCTCATGTTAGGAATGAAATGTGTGTTGGCTTTTTTCAATTGTATACTTTAGAATGACTTGAATTTTTAATAATATTTTTGTTGAGTTTTAAAATACTGGAGTTTCATTTATAATCTCAACTATTTTAGTGCAATATTGATATCCTTTTCTATAAGCATATGTTACTCAGACCCTGATAAACAGCACAAAAAAAAACAGATAAAAATGTATAGGTAGTCCTCGACTTACAACCATTCATTTAATGATCATTCAAAATTACTGAAAAAAGTGACTTTTGAACATTTTTCACACTTAACAACCATTGCAGCATCCCCATGGTCACGGGATCAAAATACGGGTGCAGGAATTCGCTTAAGTGTGGCAAAAGGACTGTAAAATGTGGCACAACTCACTTAACAACTGCCTTGCTTAACAACAAAAAAATGGGGTTCAGTTGTGGTCGTTAAGTCAAGGACTACCGTAATTCTGGAAATAAACAAATGTTGCTACCTTACGTTTTTCGCTCATCCTGAAAAAACAGTTCTGTTTTGCAGTCCCAGAGTCTTCCTTTCAGTGGCCAACAACTCTTAACAGTGAGAGGAATGTTCAACTGGGGCTCCTGAGATTTCAGCCGCACTTCTGAACTAGTGGCCGTAGCTCCTCTTAAGTAAACACGCACACTGATGGGCGTGACTCCTTAAAGACAAACCATCTGAATAAAGCTTTGCGCTGGTGCCAACTGATGCCCAGTTGTCCTAACCAATTCTTCCTTTCCTTCTCCTTAAAGACATGACTATGGATGAAGTCCGAGAATTTGAAAGAGCAACTCAGGAAGCCACCAACAAGAAAATTGGAATCTTCCCTCCTGCGATATCCATCTCGAATATCTCCCTTCCCTCTTCGATCCGCAGTACTCCTTCTAGTGCTCCGTCTACGCCTCTGTCCACAGACGCACCGGAATTCCTAGCGGTTCCCAAAGACCGTCCGCGGAAAAAGTCTGCCCCAGAAACTCTCACGCTGCCAGATCCAGATAAAAACACTCTCTAAACCCAGCATGGTTTTTTTTCCCCTTATGACAAGCTATGACTGACAGAATATCATTTGCAAAGTTCACGGTAGTTGTTCGATTTAAACAAATATTATTGATCTGGAATCATGCATTTCCCATTCCCACCCACCCACCCCGTTCCCTTAGGCTTCCCCTGAAACTAGTTAGCTAAATGCATGCAAGGTCATAGTTCATGTGCTCTGATTCCCAAACTAAAGCTCTAAGCCATATGACAAATGTTGCTATCAAACCCAGAATGAAATAGCTGGTTTAAAAAAAAAAAAAAGCAAAAGCAGTCTCTTGTAGTGATGGCTGCAAACAGAAGATGTAGAATTGCAGTGTTGATGACTGGAGAGGTTTACAGGGATTTCATGAAGCTGGCGAGGACATCCCGAGAGAATGAGGTTCTCCTTAGCTACAGGTTCAGATGACATTTCTCATTTCAAGCCATTATATCTCCATTTCTGAAATCCTTTTTTACTCTCAGGCCGAATGCACCTTAAAGTAAACCTTGGAACTGCTGATTCACTGATCAACACTTGAATACCAATAGATTCAGATTCCTTTTTACAGAATACAACTCAGGATTTGGGTGTAGCTAATGCACACTCTTCAAAAATTAAAGAAACAACGTGCTCTAGCTTTGTCTTAAATTATAATCATTTTGAGACCCTGGAACTATTTGTATCTTGCACAAAAATTTGTAACTCCTTTTTATTCTCTGCTGTTGTGAAACTTTTCTGTGTTGATTTTGGAGAACGGGGACCTATTGCAGGAAGAAAAATGGAAACACCAACAAATAAAATAGGTTCCAAAGCCCAAATGGGACAAATATATCCCAAGAAACAATGCTAGTACTAATTCATAATTCAATTCAGGTCTTCTGAGTTCCTATGAAATTAATGAACGTCCAGATTGAAAACCCCATTAAAAAGAAGAGAAAGTCAGCCTGTTTTTTGCAACATTGTGAGTAGTCATTCCATGACTTGAAGTTTTGCTGAGGGTGTTTGTGCTGGCCTGTTAAAACAAAAGCAACAGATTGTAGCACAAAATATGTTAGGCTTACTGTGCAGATTCTTTCTCTCATTTTAAAAATCCTGTATGTACGTGTGTGTCAGTGTGTCACTGTGTGTGTATACACGCATACATACATTCACACATACATATATACATCCATACACACAGGGTTTGTAGAACGAAATACATACACACACACACACAAGATATTTAGAACCTTGCAGGTTTTTCTTTCTGAATTTTATTCATGGCTCAGCCTTACAATGTATTCACTATATATATATATTCACTATGTGTGTCATATTCAAAAACTAAAACACAGATCACCGAGACTAAGGAATTTATTTAAAAACTTAGCTTTCGTCAGCGGCTCAATCCTAATACATTGTAAGGCTGAGCCATTAATAAAATTAAGAAAGAAAAACCCTGGGAGATCCAAATAATTTCTTTTTAAAAGATGTGTCTACCAGTAAGTCTACTATATCATGCTCAAGAGAGTGAGACTCAATGCATTGTCCAACAAGAGGTAGTTTTATTCAACTGTGCTCATTATTATTGCTTCTTTTGAATACAGGTAGTTCTTGACTTCCAACGGGTTGCTTAGTGATTGTTCAGAGTTAGGACAGCCCACCTCTGGGAACTTGCAACCTGGCTCCAGAGTTCCAACAGCTACCACTGTGGTCACATGACCACATTTCAGCCACTCAGCAACCAGCCCACATTTATGGGTATTTGCAAATCCCACATTCCATGACCACCTTTTATGATATTTTTGCCAAAAACTGGCATTTACTTCTGGTTTTGGGCAAAACCTGCTCATTGGAAACAATTGGTTTGCTTAACAACCACTGCAGAAAAAGTCATAAAATCAGGTTGGTTGGGTGGGTGACCATTGTACGACTGTCACAATTTATGACCATAATAGGCAGCTCCATTACAGTTGTAAGTCAAAAACTACCTGTGCAGGCACCTGAATTGAAAATGGAAAGGAAAACATCGTGCACTGCTACAGTTGACAACTCATTAAGAAGCCTCTGTCTAGTCCTTGTTTAAGAGCAAAAAAAGTTATGTGGGAATCTTCTAAATCTTCTGACAGAAACAAAACAACTTGCCAGCTTCCTGAGCTCCTTCAATTGTATTCTTTTCCAACAATGAAAATAGAATTGTTTTTCTTTTGGCTTTTGGTACCTCAGAAAGCGGTATTAGTTGCACCCAGCCATGTAGTTTGGAGAGACAAAATATTGGCCTGCTAATTGCATCACCCTTCTGTCTCAGGAATCAAAGATACTTCCCCATATACAATTTATAACACTTGGCATCTGTTCCTTTCTTTACAATTCATTCAGAATTGTAAATTAAGTAAATTTAGTAAATTAAGTCAGTAGTTAACCACATCTAAATTAGAATCATTTGTGAAAGTGTCATAAACATATAGCGACAGTACAAGGGGAATATAGAAATATATATCCAGATCTCAGGGGGGATAAAGATAACTTTGAATAATAAAAAATGTCTAGTAAGCACGGCAGCATGAATTTTCATATGAAAAAGTGTAGCAGACTTAAATCTCCAATTAACTCTTAAGTGACTTCTTACTTTAATTGTACATACCAAGGGAACTGTTATTTAGGTTTTAGTCATAGAAAGGTAGAGTGGGAGAACAGAATGCGCTATGTGCATTTGAAAACTCAAAATTTGTAGTAGCTCTAATTCTGTATTTAATCCCCCCATCATTTAGCTTCATGCCTTTTCCCAGTTATTACTCAAGATATCTTTTTCTGTCTTGCTCAGCATTCCGAAGTTCTGTGTGACATTTGTTAATACATGTTTTCATTATTAGTATTATTATTATATTTCTATACATAAATACACCCTGAGTTTGTGGCTTTAAGTTAGCAGAAAATTATGATAATTTCTGTGATTTTAAGCCAAATGTTGCTCTCCCTGTATCTGCTGTTAGAATCTTGCACAAATCAATAAGCCAAGATATCAAATCATTGTGTTGATTTATTTTAACTGTTTCACTTCTTCCTCAATACTTTGGCTTGGGAATAAGATCAGGTGTTTTATGCTTGTTAAAAGGCTGCATAGTACAAAAATGAAAGGTAATAGCATGCTACGGAAAAATAATGGACTTTTCTATGATACTTTCTGCTCTTAATGCTGCAGCAAGAATTATTTGTTCAACTTGATGTGCTATTAAAATTGGGTGCTTAATGAATAGACAAAATTTGATTCTTCTGCATGTCTAAATGATGGCTGACACAATCCATGTGCCAATCTGCCTACTCTTTGCTTTTCCTATATTTCCGGGAATTAGCAAAAAACAAATGGATGTTTCTTCAGCATATACACTCTCAGACACCTATGCTCTTCACAAATTCTTTTACGCTCTTTTCTCATATTCTGTTTTCCTTCCAGGAGTTTTGCCACTAGGGTAGTCAATTATCCAATTTACTTTTCTTTCTTGATTTTTGTCCTCTGCTTTAAAAAAAAACGTATTTCTGACACAGGAAGAACAACTAAATTAAATTTCTAGCATATTTTTGGTTGCACTAATGTGTCTTTTCCATGGGAAAAAAGTTTGGCTAAGTTGTTGACTTGTCTGATTTTTTGTACAGAATATGCTGTATATTTTTAGCAGTATGTTTTTTGTGAGGATCAGACCTGTGGATGTTTTATCTATTAGTTTTGTGGAACAAAGTGGCACTTTCAATAAAGTCTGGTGCAGCAAAACAAACAGAAGCCTGACTAGGCTTTTGAACCCTAGTCCTGGTTCCCCTTTTTTCAATGAGAACATTTGATCATTGCTAAGAAGAGAAAGGAGGAATGTGTTCTGAAATGAATATACTGCTGGCTTTAAATTAAACTTTCCTATCAAAAAAGGGACTCCTGAAATTATCTGTTTCAAAACCCATCTTTGATCTACTAAGCAAAACAATTAATTTTTTTAAAGTTTATTCATGAGAGTCTCAAGAAGGTTGCTCAAACTTTATTGTTGAAAACTCTGGTGTATTTTCATCAGTTATGCTTTCCATGTACATGAATCTTTAAAAATCCATGTACATGGGTTAGAAATCTTCATGGGGTTATATTTGCTAAGAAAGTTTGCAACAAAAATTGCTAAATTGCCATACAACCAATTTGAGCCTAGCTGTTTTTCACATATCAGTGGACATACCGCAACTGATGTAAGTTTAGATCAATTATTTCATATTGAATGAATAGAAACAGCCTCATCAGTTTTCAGGTAGAGACTTCACAAGGTGGTTGTTGTGGGGAAAATAGGAGAAGGAATGAGTTATTAGGTATGTTTGCCACCTTGAATTATTCATAAAAATAATAAAGGTGGGATAATAAATAAATCAAATTACTGTTAAAGGGCCCAACTTGAATGAACTCATCTAGAATAGAAATGCTCTGGGCAATTTTTCTTACAGCAGATTTCTGTTTCATTAGCAATGTTTCGGGTTTTTTTTAACGAATCTTTTAAAAACTTGGTTGATAGAAATGAAAATTGCTCTGCTGTTTTTATTCGAACGATAATAAGAGAGAAGTGTGTCTTTAATCATACGTGGGGCTGGATTCTAAGGCATCTCTGTGAGCAAAAAAGGTCAAAACATGCTTAGCTGAGGGCCTCTAGTCAAGCAAAATTCCTCTTTGGGTTGGGATTTGCTGCACTGGAGCTTTAGAACATGGCTGTTGTTTAAAAGACATCCAACGTATGCACTTCATGGTAGTTAAATCATAAGACTGGGGAGGGTTCATGAACTTGTCAGTAGGAACTCATTAATCACCATTATTCAGACTTCTGTTTTCATAAAGGCTTGAAGCTAAACTAATCGTGGGGAAGGGTCTTCTTGTTTGGACGGCATCGTCTTGGAATTGTCCTTTTTTTTTTTTAATGTTCCTTCTAGAAATAGGTTTTTTGTTTCATTTCTGTGACAATCTTTGTGGCTTTGAGTGCTGTGTATAATAGTGGGGTTTTTCTGTTG